GCCGTGCCGCGCCTACCGCCCGTACGCCAGCTCCTCACGCCGCTCCTTCGCGCCGCCGACTGAGGCGAGCCCACGCTCCCGCCCGCCTTTTATTCCGCCCCCGCCCTGGCCAATCAGAGCGCCCCGCCGGCCGCTCCAACTGCCGGCTGGCCCCCGCGCGCCCGCGCCGGCCAATGGGAAGGCAAGGGAGCGGGTTCGAAAGCTCGCCCCGCGGAGAGGGCTCTTCAAGCGGCAACGCCGGCACACGGCTGGTGGTGGGGCCCTCCCGCCGGCGGCGGCACCCCAGCTTCACTGCGCTCCGCATTGGCTTGATCGGACCGACAGGCAGCAGAGGGAATTTTGGCCAAAACAATTGAAACATTTCGGGGGGGGCGCCAACAACAACAAACCAAGAGCAACCCCTGTTTTGCACAGGTTAGAAACGTTTCCCCCAGTTTTTCAGCACTGGTGTCTGACATGTTGTGCCGGAGAAGGAACTGGTAGTGGTGTTGGCTGGAGGGGGAAGTGCACCTTCGAGTACTTCAAGGAAAATCTGCCCTGATGTTGAGCAGAAAGCCATCCCTGCCCAGCTGCCAGGTGGAGATCTGCTCCAGGGGTCTGGCAGCGAAGCTCGCAGAAGGCCCAGGGTAGAAGAGGAAGATCCACAACGGGGGCGGGAAGGGTTGCAAGGGAGGACGGGGGAGGAAAACAGGCCACCAGCATCTCCAGGGGTGATGGGGACCACAGCAGCCTGGAGCACTTTGCGTGGGAACTGAAACCTCGCTCTGCCATAGCTGTGAAAGCCGGTGGCAGGGCCAGCCTGGTGGCTGGGGGCCGCCGGGGACAACCGACACCCCCACACCCCCCCCAGACACAGCTCCAGGCATCGGGGAAGTCTCCCAGAAAGCTCGGGGGGTGTTTCAGGGCATGGAGTGGGGACCCTCCTTCTTCCACTGAGGAGCAACCACCATCTGCGAGGAGGCAAGAAGTGAAAAGGCCCAAAATTAAGGAAGTTCAACATGCTGCCCCGAAGTATCAGTTTTCATTCCCAGCTGACACAGGACAACTCACTTCCATCCTTTTTTTTTCCAAGGAATTCGTCTGCAGACCCCCCAAAGGAAAGCCACAGCCCGTCATGATGCTTTATTGGCAGGAACTGCCACCACGTCCCGGCTTGCTGGAAGGACAAGGGGGTGGCTGGTCACAGCAGTAACAAAAACCAGGTGAAGATTCAGCCACATCAAGACATAGTTGTCATAGTAAGAGCCTTCCTCCCGCAAAAACCCCACACTCAGACCAAATGCATGTTTTACTCCCGCTTGAGCACAGCTGGAAAACCTCAAATGCCACTCTCTGGATGTTGAACACAACAGCACGTCAACCTGGGGGCTGACATCTCAAAATGTTCACCTCCTCTTGCACAAACCTGCTATGCTCCGTCTTAAAACGACTAGACCAGAGCACGCTCAATCGCACAGCCAAAACACCGGCCAAAACAGCCGGTCCTGGCTTTCCCCCTGCCTGCACCGGGGCGAGCCTCTCCCGGCTGCAGGGGGGGGGTTGTCCCCCCCACACCCGGCGTGGGAGGCCAGAGGGACGCGAGCCCCGGCGGTGGGAACCGAGGGTTTCCAGACCCGCCGAACCTGCTCCCCGTGCCTCAGAGGGCCGGCAACACCCTGGCCTAAGCCCTCGGGTCAGTCTAACCAGCCGGGGCAGGTCTGGGCTGGGATGTTTGGGACTGCAGTCATGCCTCCTTGCCCGCAGCTGGCACGTCTGCCCACCACCGGTGTCCCGTCCGTGGCACAGCATTCGGTTGTGCCCCCGCAAAAGGGCTCGTGCATCACCAGGGGCGTTGCTCTGGGACTGCTGTTTGCAGGATCCGGGCACCCGCATCCTCAGCAGAGAGGACCCCAGTTAGAAGGATAAAGCCAGGTTTGATCCATCCCAGTTGGGTATATTCCCAACTCGGATGCAGATGAAGAGCCACAGTGCAAAGCCACCTCACCAGCTGGAGAAAGCTGAACGTGGGTGGAGGAGACACGGCGTGAGAGCTCTGCTGAGTAAAGATGCCTGGATCAGAGCGGACCGACCTGTTCTGCCACTCACCGCCTCACCCCGATGGCATGAGGCACCATTTCTCTCTGGTGGCCAGGTTTTGGCTACCTACCCTGCCTAGGAGCGGGAGGGCCAGCAGCCTCTCCCCTACCCTGGCCAGGGATAAGCACGATGGGGACGGGTACCGAGCGGTCCCTCATCCCTATTAGTGCTCAGACAGGGGACTTTGAGAGCGGGCAGGGAGGAGCAGCGGTGCACGCCGTCAGGCAGCAGACAGTACCCAGTACCGCCGGTTTCACCTACCAACTCCGCGCCTGGTGTCAGGCACAACCGCCGACGTGTGTTGTTCCCGGGGCACCGAAGCCCTGCCTTGACATCTGCCCTGCCCCTGCCTGTGTTTCATGCCCTTTGGAAAGAGACGGGAGGAGGATTGCTTTCCCAGGGGCGGCCGTGCAAGAGGAAGGCAGGAGGAGAGGACCGGCAGCAGTGCAGGCAGAGGCCGTCCGGCAGCGCACGGGCAGCCCGTTTAAGCCAGGCAGTATTTTGGTGGCAGCCCTGCCTTTCCCTCCCAGGCTGATGTCATGGTTTAGTAAGTTAGAGGCAGAGTCACATGGCAGCTTCTGAGGTCAGCGCCTGGGGTGGCTTTGTTGTCTCTCTGCCTGCCTGCCCTGGGCTCCTGCCTGCACCCAGAGCCCGTCCCTGCCGGTGGGTGACCCAGCTGGGGTTGTCCCCCTGAGTAGGGATACCCACGGCTCGGCATGGCGTGGGAGCCGTCGCCTCCCGGAAAGTCGGACGCGCCTCGCGTCCGTCCGTCTGCCCGCAGAAGGGGCATTGCCCCCCATACCTGCGGGTCGGGGTGGGGGGATACAGGAGAAGGAGGCTGAGGAAAGGGTGTGACGGGGCGCTCTAATCTCCGCATGTGATCTAACCGGGCTGGAAGGGGTTTGACGAACAATTAACAATCCTCCGGCTCAGCTGCTGTTTCCCGAAATAGCTCTGGCAGGAGGAGGAGGGCGGACGGGCTGGCAGACAAAGGTGGCCTCTCCGCCAGCGAGCTGCAGCCGGCGGCGTGGCCGGCAAGCCGGCGGAGGAGGCAGCCCCGGAGGCCGAGCAGCGGGGAGCCCGCGGCCCCACCTGGAAAGGAAAACAATGCGAGATAAAAGCAGCTCAGGGCAGGAAGCAGCTTGCGGTACAAATAATAATCGCAGAGGGCCGCGCGCACCGCTGGGTTTTTTGGAGGCGTTTAAGTCCGCCTTCGATGGTCGGCACCCGGGAAGCTCGTCGGGGATTCGCGCATCTTGGCCGGGAGCGGCGTGGGCTGCCGGGGCTGCGTGCCTGCTGCCTGCGTCCCCAGCTAGGCTGGCAAAACCCCGGCCGGGGGTCCTCGCGTTCCCCCCGGCCGCAGCCCACGCGGCGACGGCGCGGCTGGGGGCCGTACCGGCACGGCCATCTGGCGCGCAGCGCGGCCGCCTCGACCTGCGGCGGTGAGGCTGAGGATGTGGTTAGCAAGATCCTGTTTCGACAGCGGCGCCTGTCCCCATCCCCGCACCCCACCCCCCGCCAGCCCCTGGCTGTCACCAAATGTGTGGCCCAGGCCCCGGGGAGAAGCCAGCTGCAGCAAAGAGGCGGAAAATCCTCCGGGTAGGACAGACGGTGAAATTAGAGTTTCCTCAAAGCGCAGGCTGAAGTCATCCACCACTTCTCTTGGCTGTCCCAGCGCCACCGCAGTGCATCGTCCCCTCTCTCTTCGATTCGGACCAGGATTCGTGAGTTAGATCCTTCATGGGAAGAATATGGGAATGAAACAGCCAGACCTCCCCACCACCGGTGGGGTTGGGGCAAAAGCCTTCGCACCAACCGCTGCCTGCAGCAAAAACAGAGCTTCAGGACAGCCAAAGCCCAGGGACATCCAAGCGCATCCCCAGAGCTTGCTGATGGAAGCGAAACAGTACGGGGAGGAACATTTCCAAATGTGGATTCATCTGCAGCCTGAGTTCATTTCTAGATGAGAATAACAAACATCTGAATTGTGAGGGACCCACACAGGGCTCAGGAGGAGGAGGCGGCTTGTTTGGGGTTCTTTGGGGTTTTTTTCTTCAGAAAAATCAATGATTCGCATGGATGCGGTCTGGACCTGCCGCAATCGGATATCGGTAACTAATCCCCCAGGGTTCCCAACTGCTCTGGTTTATCTGTGATTGGAGATAAGGTCAGAAGAGCTGGGAAACATCCCAAAACACAGCCGAGAGCACTAACCGCTAATCACTGCTGAATGAAAACCAAACAGAACGCGCAAGCGAAACAAATACAAACAAATCAATACAAACCTAAACCCAAAGGAGAGGAAGCAGCTCCCTGAGAGCGCCAAGACACCCGCTCCTGAAACCAGAGCAGGGTGTAAGCCTGCAGCACAACCACATACTAGAAAGCAAAGGGGATTTCCAGGGTTAAAAACCCCCTTCTCATGGGCAGAGCTGATAGTCTAGATACCCCAGGCAGGCAGGACTCCCTCCTACACATCTTTTTTTTTCACCGATGACCTGGGACTCCCCCTTTTCCCCTTGCACAAATGATTTAAAATTTCCTTTCCCTTACACTGAGCCGCCTCCTTTCCCTCCCCTGGAGACCTGTGACCTGGACCCCCTGCCCATCAGAAATCCTGCTACTCCTCCAGCAGCCTCTCCAAACACAAAAGGGGGGAAGGGAAAATCCCATTCCCAGCTATCGGCTTCTTCAGGCAGCCATTTCCCTTGGAAAAATGTGGCCCCATATCTTTCAGTGTTTTATGGAACTGGCTTGGGTTTCCTGGGGAAAAAAATGCATTTATTTGTCTGGGGTTTCCTATCAGACAACCCTTCTATTGTAGTCCACCTTCCTGTATTTTTTTTCCCCTCTCTGATATGCCTGCAATGGGTCCTGTGCCATTTCCAAAGACAGAGGCTGCCTTGTGTCCAGGGGGAAAAGAAGCAGGACAGCCCTGGGATGCAGTCCAGCAGACGACCCTCCGGCTGCCCAGCAAAGCCAGTGCTTTTTGCTGGAGTGTTTAGCAAAGAGTTTGCTCCCCAGCAAAACCTTTGCTAAAGAAGGCGGTAGCCTCGGTGGTGTTCACCTGCGGCCCAGCACAGGGTTAAACATCTCAAATTAATCGTGCGAACTCCGCACGGAGCCAACCAAAGTCACAGTTCAGCAAACCGCAGAGTAGACCGCCTGCCCAAAGGAGTCTCAGCCTAATTATTTTTTTTTCTCTCCCTGTATCTCAATGTCACCTTTCTTTTAACCAGCGGGCAAATGACGACTGCAGCCCTCTGCACGTCCCAGACAGCAGATGTGTCCTCTGTGCGACTGCTTCCCGCTTAGGCGTGACAGCGAGGTTGTACGATGACACTCCGGGGCCATGGAGCCGTTCCCCCAGGAGAGGCTGCCTGCTCCGCGCCCTGCGAACGAAAAGGGGGACCAGGGTCCTTGGGTCTTGCCAGCAAATCACACCACACGCGGTGCTTATTAAAAGCCCAAAGGCATGCCAGGAGGGAACCTTCTCAGTCCTCACAGCAGCAACCTGCGATGAGAGCAGCAAGGGCAGAGCAGATCCTCTCTGTGCCGAATTCCTCCTCCCACCATCAAGGGAGACTGCGAAATAAAGCGTCTGTGCCTGCCAGCAGGTGTTGACTCCTCCTGCTCCTTCTGATCTGTGCCCCTTCCCTCTTGTAGGGACCTTCCTTTGGCCACCTTGTCCTTCATCTGGTTTGTGGGGCTGACTATGTGACGGAGCCCAGAGCCCTGGCAAGGTTGTCCATGGACACAGGGATAACAAGGAAGGTTATGGGGAAAGGTAGCCAGGAAAATGTTCCCTTTAATTTCACCTACTTAAAAAAGTAACGAGGACTCTGGCAGTCCAGCGCCTCGCTACTTGTGTAATTTAACCTCTTTTTGGATCCAGGTAAACTCTCAGCATCCCTGGCATCCTGTGGCAGGCAGTCCCAGAGGTTCACCCTGCAGAAAGTAACGCTGCCTTTGCTCTCAATTTCATTTCCCGTTTTCATCTTCATTAAGTAACCGATTGCTCATGCACTACAAAGAGGAAAATTAATTTTCTCCAAAACAACCCTTATTCTGAATAGTCATCCCACATCCTATCATGAATTATCACCTTGCATTTGCTCATTTATTCCACTCTTGACTGCATTTTTACCATTTTTGTCCAGTTGCCCAGTCAGGGATTGCAGCCTCTGCTGCACACAGGCCTTGCACTGTTACGAACCCACCCGAGGGTACTGCTATGGCATGAAACCAGCTCTCGTTGAACAACAGAGAGCCCACAAGAGATGGCAACAGGAGGAAAGCCACAACCGCAGGAGAAGCTTTGGTCAGGATTCACTCCTTCCCAGACAACTGCAAGCCCAAGGAAACCCACCCCATCAGCTCCAGCACGTGGGACCAGGAGCATCCAGCATCCAAGCCACCTTCTTGGCAAGGAGCAGTCACCTCTTGGCATCTTTTTCTTTTAACGCCTCAGAGTTGCCGCTGTCAGGTCACCATGCCATTGCACGGCTGAGGCCTTGTGTCATCTGGTTCCTTTGCGCTTCACAGTGAAGTCTCCGCAGATTTGTAAAAATGAGGCTCAGGAAACGTAGTTACAAAGGCAGAGGGGTCATGAGTGGGTAGGATTTGATGGAAACCCTCAGGATTTGATGGAAACCCTTGCTGCCCAGCACAACACTGAATATTTAGCTACAGACTAGTGTTTTGTATCAAGTTATCACTGCCTTAATCCTCCTTTTACAACCACCATTGAAAATCTTCAACAACTTTCACTAAAAATGCAAACAAGGAGGAAAAACACAGAAGACTCTGAAACCCATTTGCTTTATCACTTCTTCCTTTAGCTGTAAGACCTTTTCTGGGGGAAAAAAATCCCCTATACTTTTAGAAATCCAAATTCAAACCAATCAAGCCTTTCCCCGAGAGGAAAAGCCACCTCTTCCATGCCAAATGCATATTCTTTGCACCAGGCTAGTATGGGATCACACACCCACCCCTGTGCGTGTACACACACGCCACAAAAATTTTCCTGATAAAAGTTTCAGGGAGCCCAGTTCTTTCCGGCAGATGGTTGGGATTTTGACGAGTTGGCACTTTTCTGTGCAGAAGTGTTTAATCAGATCTTTCCTGACCAGTTCTGCAGCTGTGTGCCATGCACCAAGCACTCCTCTTGCAGGGAGGAATTGGTTAGCCGAGCATGCCAAAAAGCTACCAAAACACTCCCCGCTGCTCCCAAACCAAAAGTCAGGGCTCCCCACAAAAAATGGCAAAAATGCCCCCCATTCTAAAAAGTACATAGCAGTGCAGTACATAGCACGGCTTTCATGTGAAAATCTAAATCATTTACTACATCGCGTAAATTAATTTTCAGCATTGAAGAAAAGGCTGTCTTTCTTATTCCTGGCAAATTTGCAACTTCCCTACATTTTGGTAGCACCTCCTTATTTTCAGGCCTCAACAGCTTTGCAAAGCTTTACACTTTTTTGCAAATGTGTAAAAAACTATTTTCAATTAAGTGAATAAAGTGTTCATATAATTTATTAAAGGATTTCTGAAATTCCTAGCTAGTAACTCGCAGATGCTATGGGAGCTTTTTGCTTTTTCATTCCCAGTGCAGTGAACGTTTCAGGGGACGCTTGGCAAGAGCGAGCCGAACTGCGCAGCCTCAGCGCACTGGAAGGCGAGCGCTATGAATTGCCCCTGATGGACTTTCATAAGCATTTGAACAAATCTAACCCTGATAACCTTCAGTGCACTGCTCAGAATACACCATGTCTTTAAGCACCCTAACTACTACGACCAAATCCCTTGGAGGCTCCCAACACAGAGCAATGAGGCTACGACATTCTCCGAGCTGCTTCAGAGGGGTGTCCCTGCTGAGGGTGCGCATTTGGACAGGTGGGTTATGGGGTCCTTCACTTTGCGGAACAACCTGCCACCTCCAAGCACGTTTGCAATACGCGAGTCTTTAAGGCATGGCGCATCGGGAAACACTGTCCCTGCAGTGTTGCAGCACCCGAAGGAGAGCCAGTGTGGGTGCCCAGTAAATACCAGGCCTCTGCTGGGATGTTGTTGGTAGGAGTAAACCAGAACTGCTGAGCAGCTCCAGCCCAACCCAAGCGCTCCTTCCCCTGCTTGGAAACACACTGGTTTTCCTCCTCTATCCCAGCAAGAAGCCCAAAGCTGCCAGAGCAGGAGACAAGGGCTGCAGCACAGTGTGGGGAACAGCAGCAATGGGGGAGGCAGGAGCTCTGAAGAGTGTGAAGCACAGGTGGAAATCACGGGAGGATTGTGAGGTTTTGGGGAGTACAAGGACTTTGGGGGACAGGGACAGGCAAACTGGCCCAGTCACTACTCAGCACTCCATTTTTTTCCTGGAGGGAACCCCCTGCGCTCAGCACAGCCCATTTGGCAGGGACCCCCCGAAACCTGGCGGCGTGGGAAACAAGCCATCCAAGGTACAGCAAGGAAGGGCCGGCAAACACAAGCCCTAAAGCTGCCACCTGTTGCACCACACCTGGCAAGCTGCGGCTTCCAAAGGTGTGGGGCTGGCCGGAGCAGGAGGCGGCTTTCTCACCCCGCAAACTGCAGAAACCGGTTTTACATGTGCCACAGCCTTCCCACCCCACACTCGTGAGTAAAGCTGCTGCGATGGCAAAAATGAGGTATCCAGTTCACATGCTGAGGAGGCATCTCTGCAAATGGGTTTTGTGCCTGTTCCCTCAGTGAACCAGCACTGCCTTTGCTTGGGATGCTGGACCACAGCCACATTCGGGAAGCACAAGCAGGGACACGCACTTTGGTCAAGAGGGCAAAGATTTGGGCGATTACTCCTGGCCAAGCTTTTGCAAAATCGACCATCACGCCTGCCTGTCCCACGCTGGGAGCAACGCAGGGACATCCCCCACGCAGAGGGCTGCGCAGTGGGAGTTCAGCCGTGGGTATACGGGAACATCCCCTCGCACTGCACGGGCACCCTCCCTCTCCTGCCAGCTTTTCTAAGCCCAGGGCTACCTGTGCTTGCAGCTGAGGGTCTATTAAGGAGCCCAGAGATTTAGGGAGGGGGGGCGTGAAGGAAGAGGGGCTCTCACCCTGGGACGGACAAAAGCCAAGAGGCGAAGGGCTGTTCTCGCCCCGCAGAAGGGAGGAGGAAGGAAGCGGTGCCTGTTCGTTCCCGGGGCAGGAAGGGTAGCGGGAGCAGAGCAGACTGGCTGTCGCTTTCCCCTTCTTCCTCCCGCCCGGGTGGGAACGCAGCCCGGCCGAGCCCCTCCTGCCAGGCACCCTGGCCCGGCAGCCAGGACGTGCCCGCTCAGTGCCGAGAAGCCGACCGGCGAAGGGCCGAGAGGGACATCCTGCCCCGAGCGGCTCCCCGGGGCCCAGCGGGCCGGAGGTTCCCCGGGCCTTGGAAAAGCCCTCCGGAGAAGCCGGGATGGCCCCGTCCCCCTGCAGCACACCCCTCCCGGAGGCCGTTCGCCCCCTCGCCGCCCCGGCGGTCCCGCCGACGTGACGCCGCTCCCTCAGGCGGCCGCCGCCACGGCGGCGCGCGACCCGCGCGGCGACCCCGGCGGCCCCCCAGGCCCCCCCCCCCCCCCCA